AATTAGTATGCACGAGATAGGCGGGCAGTTGACATTTTTGAAGTTTCTGCGTATATGTTTGCGACAGCTAATTAAACATGTAGACTCAGATTTAACTAACCAATAAACAAAAACATTTGAAAAGAAAAATGAATGCATAAAGCTTAAAATCAAGAAAATCTTGTATAGTATAAGAAGCACAGCACATTTCATCAAAACCCCCCAAAAAATCTTGTTTTTGCAATGGATGAAAATTACAAGTGTAGCAAAGTTCCTACTACAACCAAGGTAAATAAATTAGTCATTTTTATTTTTTTTGTTCTAATTTCATTTGAATTAATTTGTTTTCAAATATTTGACAGCAAAATACAATTTTCACATCATGCAGGCAGATAATGAACTCGAATCAACAAAACAAGAAATGACTGGAGTAAGAGAAGAAAACACAAGACTGAAAAACCTTCTTCAGCAAGTAGAGAAGGATTACAAAGCTCTACAAGTGCAGTTCATGGACATGTCTCGAAAAGAATATTCCGATAAAAACCGTAGCTCAATTTTCCCGGTCAACGGTTGGTCAAATTCCGATTACAGCAATGATCGGGACCAAGATTTAGTATCCCTTAGCCTCGGAACGAATATTCATGCCAAAACCAAGAAAGAAAACGTTCTTGCCAAGCCCACTTGTGAAAGAGACTCGACCGAACTTGGGCTGGGCTGCAGCTCGGAAAGTTCAAAAACCGACGATGGGCCCACGAGCCCGGGTAAAATCCTGGGCCCGGAAATTCGAGAAGTGCCGAAAACGAGTAGAGATGACGAAATTTGCCAGACAAGTGTGAAGAGAGCAAGGGTTTGTGTGAGAGCCAGATGTGAAACACCAACTGTAAGCATAAATTTTTCCCTATTTTTTTTATAATCAAATATATAAATTGATGGGTAGAATTAAAATTAGTTATTAAATGGGGATTTATGATGTTTATTTACAGATGAATGATGGCTGCCAGTGGAGAAAATATGGACAGAAAACAGCAAAAGGAAATCCATGCCCAAGGGCCTATTATAGGTGCACAGTTTCTCCATCATGCCCTGTTAGAAAACAGGTAAAAACATTGTCTAACATTTACATATGAATCCTTGAACTTTTCAAATTTTGTCCTTTTTTTTTTTTTTTTTAAACGAAACAATAGAGAAACTTTACAAATATTGTCAGCCTTACATAAAACATATTCTGATTTCATTTCTCAGAGATGCATAAAGGCTAACAGCTTATAAGTGATTTTCAAGCTTATAACTTATAGCTGAACAACTAATTTATACTATGCTAAAAGTGTTGGGTAAAATTAGCTATAAACTAGTTGAAATAAAAATTTCAGCAAGTTTATCTGAAAAGCTATCCAAAGAAGTTTATGAGATAAACTCGAGCTCTTTAAAAAAAGCTAGTCCTACCAAACAAAACTTATTTGAATACAAGAATCTTATAAGCTAACCAAACATAGCCAAATTTTAGAACTTTAGCCTTCATCATGAAGAAGAAGTTCAATTAAACTCAAATTAGCAATCTTGGGTTAATTTTCCCATTAACTAAAAGGAGAAATCAATCAAACTTACATTTGTTCATAAGAAAAGTTTGGACCAAAGTTTAGAACTTTAGGCTTCATCATGAAGAAGTAGTTCACTTACACTCAATTAGCAATCTTGGGATAATTTTCCCTTTACTAAAAGTAGCAATCAATCAAACTTACATTTGTTCATAAAACAAGTTTCGACTTACCCATAAATTTTATCTTCAGGTGCAACGATGCATGGCCGACATGTCGATCTTGATCACCACTTACGAAGGCACGCACGATCACCCGATTCCGATCTCCGGCACCGCCATGGCCTCCACCACCTCTGCCGCCGCCTCCATGCTCCTCTCCGGCCCCACCGCCTCTCCTCCCCTCAATCCTTACGGCCCGCCACCCGTGCCTCCGTATTCCACCGTGACCCTCGATCTCACCACCGAGCCTTCCGCCACACGTGGTGGCTTCAGCCTCCATTCTTCTCCACCCTCTCAGCAAAATCCGACTTTTCCGGCGACTGGCTTGAGCTTTTCTCCGGTGGAACCCAACACGGGTTCCTCGGTTTGGGGTGTGAGTGGCGGCGGGTTTTCTTTTGATCTTCCCGAAAAATCTGCACACGAGCAAAAGTACGTTTCTTACTTGGAAAAGCTGAGCCAGTCTTCATCACAGCAGGCTCTAACGGAAACGCTGACGAGGGCAATTTCGTCCGACCCGAGTTTCCAGTCAGTTTTAGCAGCTGTGGTCTCAACAATGGCTGCTGCGAAAGGAGGTGAGGGGGGAAAGTGATCAAATGGTATGAATGATCGAAAGCGAAAAGCAGAAAGATCTCGGCCGAGGCCAAAAATATTTTTTGTGTGTTAGAATTTCGTTTTGAATTGAGATGAATTAAGAACATCTGCTGACAATAAACACCAAATTATTCAATTTCAGGGTAAAAGAATACTGAAATGTATATTTGGAGTGAGCCTATCAGTATCTAAATGAAATTAATGTGTGATATATATATTTTTTTTTTTCGGGCTTTGATATTGCTCAAATAACTTCACCATTATGTGAAATGATTTATTTCTGACAAAAGAAAGCAAGAATCTTACAGTTCTTTTCTATGCTGATAACAACTTTTAGGCTCGCAAGATATAAATTTTTTCATGAACCCTTGAGTATTTCATGGAATGCCTCTTGCGGTATGTCCACAGAGCTAGCTAACACATTTCATGTGCTTCTTTCCCTACTTTTGTATTTCGTTTATGTGCAAGGTCTTACGGTTCCTATTATTAAAAAATATACACTTAAATATGTCGACAAATGAGAGGCTGAATAAGAGTCAAGCCCTTATTGAGCCTGGAAACTACAGGTTCCTCGTTTTCGAGCTAAGAAGGAGAAATTGGGACAGAAAATAGAAGCTACCTTCACTGAGAGCTTCTTCTCCATCAAAATGGTCAATTTCGTTTTCAAAATTTTGATCCCAAATATTGGGTGTTTGTGTGACAACATATATCTGCTGCACACATTGGAAACTGAGGACAACGAATAATTTGTGCAATATGAATTGAGGAATGAGTGAAAAATGGTACCAGATTTGTTAATGCTACTTCACTAGGGCTCGAGGTACTCAAAAGAAGCTTATACCGGTGCAAAACTGTAAATGCATAAGGACATTTCGGGTACTTCATATGGTATTTTAGGGACTCGTATGATAAGAGGCGAACATAACACAGTTTCTTTCTTATTTTCTTGTATTCTTGAGATTGATTTGGTTAGTATCATATTATATGATTGATGTGTATTGTGCATAAAATGGCAAAAGGAAATGACAACAAAGGACATATTATGTTATTGATGTGTATTGGATGTGCATAAAATAGCAAAAAGAAATGACAACAAAGGCAAGGAAAAGACAACTAATGGCAGCGTATGTGCGGAAAAAACTTAGCATATTGGCCTCTGAATACAACGTTCACATATGAGCAGTACAAGGACAAGTCAGGGCTGACGTAAATAGGACTCGTCAAACGAACATAATGGTAACTAAGGCTACTGAAGAATTAAGCAAATGCTTGCACGTAATGATCTGAATTAGCAGATGATTGAACATGTTCATAATGGTAACTAGGGTTAGTGGAAAATTAAGCAAATGTTTGTAGGTTCCGAATCTGTTCCGGCTATTTCTTATGGATGATTGCATATGTTGATAAGATTGTAAGTGACTCGATCGCAGCTCGGTCATTGGAGTTCAGCTGGCTTGGCTTTGCTTTTCTGTTATTTTAGTTTCTACATAAAAACAAAGTCAACTGAAGAACTCCTCCGAGCCACGAATCACTCTACAATCTTATCAACATGTGCAATCCTTCATAAGAGCAATAGACTCAGAACATTACATGCAACACTTGCTGAATTTTTCAATAGCCCTACTCACCATTATCAACATATGCAATAAATAGTCAAGTTAATTTTTGAGTAGCCTAGATTAGAAGAATACGTGAAAACATTTTCAGTAGCCTAGTTACCATTATCTTCATCTTCGTTTGATGCCCAGTTGACTTACATCAGCCTTGTCCTTTCATATTCAGAAACCGTTATGCCATTTCCCGCACCGGTAGCGTATTAGTTGTCTTTTCCTTGCCTTTATTGTCATTTCCTTTTGCCATTCTCCAATACACATCAATCATATAATATATTATGACACTAACCAAATCAAACTCAACAATACAAGAAAATAAGAAAAAAACCATTCATCCGCAGCCCAAGGTGGGGCCAGTTTGTCATCTATGATATTTTCTTATCATATGAGTCCCTAAAATAACATATCAAGTACCCGAAATGTCATTATGCATTTACAATTTTGCAAAGGTATAAACGTCTTTCGACTTGTGAGTCCTAGTGAAACGGAGTTCACAAATCTGGTACGCTTTTCACTTCTTCCTTAATTCATATTGCATAAATTTTTTTGTTCACAAATCTGATACACTTTTTCACTCCTTCCTCAATTCATATTGCACAAATTTTTTGTTGTCCTCAGTTTTCCAATGTGTGCAAATATATGTTGTCACACAAAGCACCCCATATTTGGGATCGAAATTTTGAAAACGAAATTGACCATTGTGATGGAGAAGAACCTCTGAGTGAAGGTAGCTTCTATTTTCTGTCCCAAATTCTCCTTCTTAGCTCGAAAACAAGTAACCTGTAATTTCCACGCTCAATAAGGGCTTGACCCTTATTCAGCCTCTCATTTGTCGACATATTTATGTGTATATTTTTTAATAACAGGAACCGTAAGACCTCGAATTAGGGCCTATTGGACTACTTATGCTTGAGTGTTCCCGATTTCTATTCCCATGAGTGTTCCCGTTTTCTCTGAATAAGGGGTAACAGTTTAATTATGGAGCTTGAAAGCTTACTCACTATGAATTACATAAACGAAAAAACACAAACATTGAATTTGACCAAAAGCAACAGCTAGTCTTCACCTGAAGCCCAACCCAAGCGGTTATGCCCCGTTTTCTCTCCACCTACGACAGACAAATACTTCAAATAGAAAAAGCTCATTTTCAGTTCCGAAGCTAGATAAGAAAACGAAACTATTGCTAATCTTGAAAACTAGGTGAAAACAAAAGCACCTGCAATTTGTCCAAATACTGAGGCTGACCATGGCCTTTCCTAGTAATTCCAGGGAGCTGCAAAAGTCTGCGCAATCTATATATTTGTTTTCTGATGTAAGAAGTTCTGTGCGATCTTGGTGTTTTTTATGCTCTGTATGAATAAGACATTTTGTGGGAAGCTCAGAGCAGTGAGGGTTTAAATTAGGGTTTTTATTTGGGAATTTGGGTGAATATTGTTTTTCGTATTATTCTTTTTTTTTTTAATCGAAACGACAGATTTTATAACTCGAAGTAAGAATTACAATGCGGACAGGCTAAATAGCCATACAATCATCCCAATAGGGAGAATGAGGAACACACAAGGGTGCCCTAAAGAAGCTGAAAAAAACAGAGATGCTTAAGTTGTCTCCGGCTAGGGCAAAGCTTAGAACCCGGAGACAGCAAAGACAACCCTGGGCTTACTCTAACCTATGAGAGAAAGCACTGCAAAAGATAGACTACCACTGAACCCATAGGTACCTAGCAGTTTACCCAAAAGCTATTTACAACTGAAACTAGCAAAAACATTTACACCAAACCAACAAAAGGAACTAAACCAAACAAAGAAAAACACTAAGAAAGGTTTTTGAACTCTAGCCAATCTACCATAACAGCATTCACAACATCTTTCCCTTCTCTTCGCAGCTTTTGAAATACCTAGAGATTTCTTATCTTCCACAGCCACCAAAGAAGATGGGCTGTGAGTTGGATTCTATCTTCAGAGATGGATGTGAGGGGAAGGGAGCAGACAACACTTCCACTATGCCTTGAAATTTCCAGTTTCAGCACTCAACCCATCCCAGCTTATTGGAGCAAATTTCCAGGTTTTTATGGCTTTTGGACAAGAAAACAGCACATGTTCAAGATTTTCAGGCCCTTCTCCACAACATTGGCATATCACATCAATCTTCACACCCTTCTTAATTAAGTTGCAGTTGACAGGTATAGTATTTGTGTAGCAGGACCATATGAAATGCTTGACTTTACCTTTGATTTTGAGCCCCCAGAATCTCTTTCTAACCTTGGTATCAGTGAGTTGGTCATTGCTTCCTTGAGGAAGATCCAGTGTGTTCCATTTGTCTTTGATTAGCTTATCATAGCATGAAGTCACAGAAAAGTTATTTTGGGCTCCACCTATCCATTCAAGTTTGTCAGCTTTCCTTGGATCCATTCCTTTTATTTTGAGTGTGGCCTGCATGTCAGAAGATTTGAAGTTGTTCTGTAGAATATCCAAGTCCCAATTCCACCCAGTGGAGTCAAGCAGGTCTTTGACTTTCTGGATTGTGGATGAAGAGGAGGGAATTTTCTCTGGTATGAATTGAGGAATTCCAGGAACCCAGGGATTGTCCCAGATGTGGACTGAGTTCCCATCATTGATCTTGAAGATGGCTCCTTCCTGAAATAGCTTCTTTACATCCCACCAGTTCTTCCACAACCATGAACCAGTTTTAGATCTCTGGGATTGGAAAAAACTCTTTTTGTGGAAGTATCTGGATTTTAGAATTTTGCTAGCAATGGAGTTTGGGTTGGTGAGGATCCTCCACAACTGTTTGTCAATTAAGGCTTGATTAAGGAGTTGCAGGTCTTTGAATCCCAAACCTCCTTGTTCCTTGGGCAGAGTCATTTTGGTCCATGCCTTCCAATGGATTGCTTTCTTGCCATCAGTCTTTTTAGTCCACCAGAATGTAGCCATCATTTGAGATATTCTTGTTGTGAGGGACTTTGGGAGCAGAAAGCAACTCATGGCATAAATAGGAAGGGCTGCAAGAACTGACTTTAACAGCACCTCTTTACCTGCAAAGGACAAGAACTTGTTTTTCCAATTTAGAATTTTTTTTTCCATTGAGTTAAGAATGAATTTGAAGGTCTCAGTTTTGGATCTACCAATACCTAAGGGGAGGCCCAGGTATCTGGTAGATTGATGGGGTTTAATACCTAAGAGAATCTGACAGATGTTTCTTTGGGTAGTGGGCTGAGTGTTTTTGCTAAAGAAGATTGTTGATTTCTCGAGATTCACTTTTTGGCCTGTTATGAAGTTATACTGTTTCAGGATTTCCAAAATCAGAAGAGCATGATGCTCATTGGCTTTTGCAAAAATTAGGGTGTCATCGGCAAAGAAAAGATGAGAGAGGGGTGGGCTATTTCTGGAAATTTTGACACCCTCAAAGTTTTTGGAAAGAACCTCTTTTTTGATAAGAAGAGACAGGTATTCTGATATTAAAATAAAAATGTAGGGGGACAAGGGGTCCCCCTGTCTAATGCCTCTAGTAGGCTCAACAAAACCAGCAACTTCTCCATTTAAATTAAAAGAAAATGAGGGGAGGATATACAAGCAATAACCCATTTAACAAAAGTAGCATGAAATCCAAACTTAAGCATAATAATTCTAACAGATTCCCACTCCACCCTGTCAAAAGCTTTGGCCATATCGAGCTTAATGGCCATGTAACAATTCCTGCCACTATTATGTCTGTTTAAAAAATGCATGATTTTCTGGGCTATTATGATGTTATCCAAAATTTGTCTGTTAGGCAGGAAGGCTGCTTGATTGTCAATGATGCAAGAATTCAGGCAAGGCTTGATCCTATTAGTTAAGATTTTAGAAATGATTTTATAGGATACACTGCAAAGGCTAATAGGCCTAAATTGGCTAACTAAGGTGGGGTTGGTGACTTTTGGAATCAGAGTGATAAGGGAGTGGTTTATGCTTTTTAGAATTTGACCTGATTCAAAGCATTGTTCTAAAAATCGGCCTAGGCGGCGCCTAGGCGCTAGGCGGTGGTGCCCCGCCCACGATTTACTAAAATCGGCCATAAAAATCGGCCAGGCGGGCCTAGTCGGGCCTAGGCGGAGCACGGCGGCCTCGGCGGTCACGGCGGCTACGCGGTTTCGGCCGGATTAGGCGGCTGCGGCGGGTTCTCGGCGGCTGAGGCGGGTTCTCGGCGGCTTTGACCAGAACAGAAAAGAAAAATAAAAAAAATCAGAAACCGCTTATCTCCGTTAATGACTTGACAACTTGATGGGCTGAGTTAATGAGTTGATGGGCCGCAGAGGCCGCCTGAGAGCTTGAGCTTTCACCGTGCTTGAGAGGCTGCTCTTTCTCCTTCCTTGGATGTTGAGATTGAAAAGGGAAAAAAATGATTTTTGAAAACTGAAAAGACTTACAAATTTTTAAAGATGGCCGGCCTACAGCTGTAGATTAATGTCTATTGTATTATTATAATATTATTAAAATGAAAAGAGGCCTACAGCTGTATATAAATGTTTGTTGTATTACTAAATAGATTTAACAGTAAACAAGTCTACATGTTACCCCATATTACACTAAAAGTTTTATTACAAATTATTATTTATGTTCACCCAATCAACACACACCTACTACTATTTTTTTATTTTTTTTTTTTCCAAAAGGCGCATTATGTAGATATAATTTGCAACATATCATGGGGAAAAGATTTTTTGTTCTAATTTTGTATTTCAAGTAAATAGTAAATACTAACATGTAGTCGTTTAGCTAGAACATATTTTTTTTTATTCCTTATTCTGTTATTCATGTATTTTATTGTATTATTATTTATGTTAATTTGAGTTTAGTTGGTTGCTATAATTCTATTATGTTATGTAATGTTTAAAATATAACATGTAGATAATGTGTTAGATAAAATTACAATGAGAAGAATTTAGTAGAAATTTAAAAGTTTGGGACTTAGGTGTATGGATTTATTAATTATAAGTTATAATTTTATTAGTGAAATTGTAAAAATAAATAAAAAATACTATATTTATTATAATTTCTAGGCCCCGCCTAGGCCCCGACTAGGCCCCGACTAGGCGCTAGGCGCTGGTCGGGCGCCTAGCGGGCGCCTAGCGACTTCTAGAGCACTGATTCAAAGAAGCTAGAAATCATATTGAATATATCAGAAGAAAGAAAATCCCAGAAATGTTGGAAGAAAGTGAAAGTCATACCATCTGGCCCAGGAGCTTTGTGAGGGTTTATGCTGAAAAGGGCTTCTTTTATCTCCTCAATTCCCACCTTCCCAGTCAGCTCTTTGTTTTGTTCTTCTGTGATGACTGGTGCAAAGTCCCTCAGCACCTCCATACATCCTCTTGAGCCCTCAGAGTTGAACAGAGTCTTGAAATGGTCCTCAACAGTGGTTTTGATTTCTTCTTGCCCTTCAATAACTGAGTGATCTTCTGTTTCCAATATGAGGATGGAGTTGTATTTCCTTCTTTGAACTGTGCAAGCATGAAAGTATTTGGAGTTCTTGTCTCCCCCTTTTAGCCATTCTACTCTTGCTTTTTGCCTCCAGAATAGTTCCTCTTCTTTGTTAAGATCATTCAGTTGCCTTTGGATAGAATCCCATTTATTCCAGTCCTTCTGTCCTCCTTGGTGATGGAGATTTTCTAGCTCCTTGTTCAGCTTACCAATGTGGTCTAATCTGTTTGATTTAAACCCCTTGCTCCACTTCAGAATCTCCAGTCTTGTAGTTTTGATTTTAGAGCTGAATTGGTATATAGGAGTTCCTATGTTCTCAATAGACCAAGCCTTTTCCACCACTTCCTTAAAACCTGGTTTCCCTATCCAACTGCTGTCAAATTTGAACATTCTCTTTTTATTAGTGACAATTTCAAGGGTAAGATTGGAAAGAAGAAGTCCATGGTCAGATGAGCTTCTGAAGATGTTTGTGACTGAAGCATTTGGATAGCTAGACATGCAGTTCAAGGATCTAAAAATTCTGTCTAGCTTTTCCTCCACATAGCCTTCCCCTTCTCTTCTATTTGCCCAAGTGAATGTATGCCCTTTCCAAGCCACTTATGTCATTTTCATACTAGCAATAAATTCTCTGAATGCAGTGAAGGAGTTGTCAGCTTTCCTTCTTCCCCCTGCTTTCTCTTCATGGCATAGGGTCTCATTCCAATCCCCTCCCACAAACCAATGACTTCCCCAATTCATCTTTTCCATCTCAAGCCAGACTCTTTGGTTCAATCTGATAGTGGGGTATGTGCTTAAGTAGACAAAAATGCCCCAGCAACTGACTGCTCTTGATGGTTCCCAAAACTGAACTTGCACACAAAAGTGATTCTGCAAAATACTAATAAAATGAACAAACTTATCCCAACCCAAAAGCAACCCTCCACTTTTACCTAATGGGTCAACAACAACCCATTGATCACCTAAGCCCAGATTCCTACAAACTGTATGTACAAACTTAACCTCTTTTTTTTTTTTTTGTTTCTGAAATGAAAATTAACCCCAGGTGGTTGAGCCTTGAGATCTCCTTGAGTTGGAAAACTGTAGAGGGCCCACCCAGCCCTCTACAATTCCACACCACAACTCTCATTTGGAACTGTGGGGTCATTTTAGGCTGGCCTCCCTAACCTCTGATTCTCCTACTTTGAGCTTTTTTGTGTGATGAAAGCCTCCCAATGATTGAGATTGTTCATGTTCTTCTTTTGGGTCTGTGGCTTTCAAAGGCCTTTTTCCTCCTGCAGTTTTAGCCTCTGGAACTTCAGGGTTATGTTTGTTTGGATGGACAACTCTCCTTTTCCAGCTAGTTTTCTGTTTTGAGCTTGTTTCAGAGTTGTTGACTTGGTGTTTATCTTGGTTCTCCTCTTGGATGGGGTTGGTATCCTCAGGTTCAGGAGTTTGGTTGCAGTGGCTATGAATGATGAAAGTGTTGGGGTTAGGGTCAGTGTTGGGGTATGTGATGGGATTGGTGTCAGTTTCCATTTGAGAACTATTTTCAATTATTAGGGTATGTGTTTTGAGTTTGTGGGGAGTATTCGGGGTGGGATTCTTTTTGGTAAGGTTTTGGTTTTGAGTAGGCACTGGTGTTGAGGGTGTGTTTATTTGGGCAGGGTTTGTGATGCATTTTTGTTTGGTATCTGAGGGGGTTGTATGAGGCTCAAATATGGCTTCAGGGGTTATATTCTTATCTTGGTTATTTTCTGGTAAGTTAGAGATAGTGTTGCTGGTTTGGCCAAAGGTGTTGAAGGAGGGCATTTCCAAAGCTTTGAGCCAGCCTCCATAAAGGCCTTCTGTAAGAGAATTTGATAAGATGTCTGCTTCTCTTTTTTCACAATTTCTGTCAATGTGTCCTAAGAAGCCACAATAGAAACATAAGCTTATCAGCCTTTCGTATTTGAAGTCAACTGTAGCTTTTTTCTGACCCATTTGAATTGTAGCGCATCTCAGTAGAGGTTGAGTGAGATCTACGGTCACTAGCAGCCGGAGACACTTCCCCGCCAGGGTTCCCCCTTGTGGGACCACCACATTTTTTACTTGTTTAAAGGCTTTCCCTATATTCAATCCCACTTCAGTTGCAATCCAATGTATTGGTATGTTCCAGACCTGCACCCATAGGTCTAACTCTGTGAAGTCCTGGTGTTCTGGATGGATGTCTTCTTTCCATTCTTTCAGTAGAAGATATTGATTCTCGAAAGACCATCCAATTCCTTTAGCCACTTTCAGTTTGTCTTCTTCTTCAGCGAAGATGAATTGGAAATAGTTGGAGCTCAATTCCCGAATCACCACAGCACCTTTTATTTGCCACATTTGGTTAATTGCTCGTCTGATTCCGACGGGGTGAGCGAATTTCAGCGTATTATTCTTCTCGCAACACGTTTTTTCGGACTACACTCGAAATGGGATAGGATAAGTCGCTACTCTAATGATTAGAAATATTTGTGCCACACAATAGAAATAACAAAAGCTTTTAAATATTCATAAATTAGTTATGAATATTTGGAAATTAGTTACAAAAGTTTGTTAATTAGTTATGATTTTGTAAATAGTGACCAATATAATTTAGATTCTATATTTAGGTTTAATTAAGTTCTANAACGCTAGAAAAAAAAAACTCACAATGACACAACACCAACGACCTAAATGCGGAACGACCCCAAACGAGGTAATGTGGAACGACCCCCAACGAGGTAATGTGGGACGACTCCAACGGAGTAATCCCTTCCACAGGGGTCAAGTGACCCAAACCTAAAATACAAGACAGACACAAACAGACTAATCCAAACCAAGACACAAATATAGATAACAAGAATACAAAAACACAAAATAAAATAAACTAAAAGCCTAAACAAGGAACAAACTAAGCCCTTCCCCAGCAGAACATCTGAGTCGAACCAGTGGATGAACCATCAATTTCAGGGAGAGATCCAAAAGCCCATGAACAGCCACCGAAACTGCCAACCGGCCTATACAAGCAGAATTAAGTTCTATAGTTAATGTGAGATAATTGATACATTATTCAAATTTACATATTACGATGATACATACAACCAAATACTTTTTAAAAATATTTTTTTTTTACATTTATATAATAATCTTTAACGAAGCCCGAATTAGTTTGTTACACCTAATCAACCAAAATGGAACGGACTATGAAAAAATGAGGCCCATAACAGCAACCTTAGTTGGCCCATGGGTTAAAAGGCCCTACAGCTTGTTACACACACCTGCCAAAAAGCCGCATCAATATTCAAAGCCAGTTGTCATAACTTATGAGATATATGGTGACATTAAAGTAATGTACAAAGTTATGCTCAACTTTATTTATTTTTTTCTTTTTGAGTTAGAATGTCCTTTTCATATTACTCTTGCACTTAATGTTAATGCCTCACATTGTACAATGCATTAATAATAAATAGAAAAAACAATGCAATAATAAGGAAAAATAGACTACCGAGTTATTAGTTTATTACCATTGGTTACATGCTCACACGATTCGGCTCGATTCAATAAAGCTATGAGTCGAGTTCAAGCTCATAGAAAAACCATTTAGTTGACAAATTTACTTGTTAAAGCTCAAAAATATATATTTTTATATAATTTTATATATTTTGGCTTGTTAAGTTCAAGCTCGTTTTGTTAATATTGATAAACAAGCTAAACTCGACCTCAATTTCTAGCTCGTCCAGTTAACGAGTTAAATTGAGTTTCACTTAACTCGTTTGTAGTCCTACTCCAATGTGTGTAATGCGCAAAACTATAGCATGTAGGGTTGAAATTTCCGTTGTGAAACTATGATATCTAACGATTATAATTACGGTCTGTAATGTACGCAACAAGAGTTTATAAACCAAACGAGTTGCTTGTGAGTGCAGCTCGACTCATTAAAACTCGAGTTCGACTCAACTTTTATATGACTCGATAAGGCACCTAATTATAATTTTTTTATATATAATTTCCTATATTTATGCTCGTTATCTCGAATTCGGTTAATTAATATTAATAAATGAGTCAAATTCAAATTAATATTGACTCGTTAAGTTAATCAAACGAGATTCGCTTGACCCGAGCTTAAGCCGGCTCAGCTATGTGGTTGAATTTTCCGTAGTAATAGTGGGCTAAACATGACAAACTCTTGAATGCAATAATTATGTGTTAAAATTTGTCAAGAGTTTACTCAAAATGATTTTCCATTGACTAATATTCGAAACTACACTTCCCAATTTTATTTTTTTTTTCCCTTTTTTTTTTGTCGGTTTTACTACATGAGTTAAAAGGGGAACACATCAATAGCAAGATATCTCTATAAGTGGTCCAATTTTGCTCCAATTTTGCTCAAATTTGCTCAAATCACAGTATGTAAATAACACAGAAGTTGTTGTAATTTGCAAGTAATACTGTAAAGGGGGTAAAAAAATGGACCCAATACTCATACCATTATATATTCCATTTTAGCTTTTACATTTTTTTATTATGACAGTTATTTTAATTTATTATGTTCATTCCACTCGCACATTTTAATATATTTTTAAATTAAAAATCAATAATTTATATAAAAAAAGAATATTATTAATCTCTATACATACTTATAAGTACCAATTATTATTTTACCATTTCTTAATAATATCACAACCATTTGTTAATATTTGTGAATAATTAAACAAATGAATAAAATGAAATTGGATTGAATAAATGTAAATGAACTATTGAATTAGGTATCACATTTTAGACATGAACTATTGAATTAGAATTAGAAGAATTTGAGCCTCACTGTTTTTCATTTTTTGTTTTCTTTCCCAATAAAAAGGTATCACATTTTAGACATGAACTATTGAATTAGAAGAAACTATTTTTTTTTTCAAAATTTAAACTCCATTTATGCATTCGGGAAAAAATTAAGTTCACCTACCTCCCATTTAGAATGACACACTACCCAATACGGTGCCGTTTCGGGTCCTTGGAGATTTTTATCTTCTTTCCAAGAATCATACAGCTCACTCTCACCAACCTTTACTAAAAACAACTGAACAAATTATAGCACGTTACCAGTGTACGCAGGATTTGTAATCTTCTCATATTCATTGTGTTAATGGAGTGAGTGGATCAAGTGCAAGAGGGGTCCATTTGGGTTGCCATGCGCGTAGGGAACTAACCTAACCAGGTATGGGCCTTTGGTGATGATTTTATCCCGGTGGTTTTTTTTACTTTCATCTCAATCAATCCTTTTTACTTGCAAATATATCTTCTGCTTTTTTTGGCTAAAAGAATTTTGTTTTTCTAATTTCTACCCTCTGTGCTCAGATGGGTGTGTCCCGCTTTATTTATGATTTTGTGGGTTGCTGAAGAAATCTGTAGATTGGGACTCCCAGCTTGAAAAAGACTGTATTTTTCTTTAGGTATAGAAAATTTTAGATCTGAATCACATTGTACCAGAATTCATTCAGCTTTGATGTTCATCTGCTCTGAATTTGTGTGCTTAGTTGTCGGTAGCTGCTATAATTTGTGGGTTTTGTTGCAGATCTTACAGAGTTTCTGAAATATTGTTGTTTTCTGAACTATTGGCGTAAAAGGGTTTTGTCATTCTTGGTTTTGTCATTCTTGGTTGTTTTGTCTGGAAATGAAGAAAAAAATATAGTTTTTAGCTTCCGGCAGTTGTGAATATGATGTATATCTTCAGTTTTTAGCTAGATGTTTATGGTAATGGTGTGTAATCAGTATTTGAATAGATTAATTGAATTGTTGTTATTTTTTCCCCTGGTATGTATCTTTAAGTTTTTGGTGTGGCATTTGGTTTTTCTAAATGCCTTCAATGTCATTTCTTGTATATTATTACTTTAGTGGGCTGGTCTTAACAAGTTATTTATTTGTTATCTTTTATGGTCATATGAAAATTCATCCCGTGCTTGCTTAATGGAACAGTTTCTGCTTTGTCAGATCTTGCTTTCTCCATCTTGATTTCTACATTCATCAATTTATCACTTTGCTAAGAGTATTGTCTCTGTGAAAATGCAGGGGTTTAATTAAAATTATCTTAGTTCGTTGCTAGCACTCGACTGCCATGGGAAAATCTCCCGGAAAATGGATCAAGACTGTACTCTTTGGGAAGAAGCATTCGAAATCTAATTTTTCTAAGGTAACCAACTCTTTCGAAATGCTATTACAATATTTACTTATGTTCACCGTGTTTAAAAATTTATATAACTATCACTACTGCATGTAGTTAGCTTAATCCATCAAATTCTTTCAGAAATTTACAACTCCCGAAAACTTGGCACCTTTTGAAAATTAATCCTGCTTTAAGACATTTTCTATGTTCTGTAACAGTTTTATCTCGCTGTAACAAATCTAATATTGGCTTTTACAATTAACGTCATGTTTAAAGAATGTCACGCCTGACAAAAAGACGGTGGAGAATCCCACCGTGATATCAGATTCTTCCCAGCTGACTGATAGAGGTGTCAATGCCTTAGAACTCGAGAATGAAACGCGTGGCTCGGCTTGTGATGCTATTGCTTCATCTCCATTGAATCAAGATTTAGATTCCAAAAGTGAAAATGGGTCGGGTCCTGTAATTGATGCTGATATGAGTAGTCAAAATCTAGCTGCAGCAAAAGTTCAAGCATCCTTCAGGGGCTATTTGGTAATTTTCTCTGACATGGCATTTTTTTACCGATAGACTGCTTGATGTTAACAATCATTCTACTGTGAGTTATGTGTGCTCTTTTACATATTTATCTGGAGTTTTTACTTTTGCTGATGAACTTTCAAAACCCCATGCTGTAGGCTCGTCGGGCTTTTCGAGCTCTCAAGGGTATCATAAGGCTGCAAGCTCTTATTCGAGGACATCTGGTTAGGAGGCAAGCAGTTGCCACTTTGCATTGCATGAAGGCAATCGTTAAGTTCCAAGCAATTGCTCGTGGGCATAAGGTTAGTTTTTTCTGATATGCTTGGCTTGAAGTGAAAAGAAGTAGTACAATATGGACGGCTTCATATTATCTAGATTTTTTTATTTTATATTGATCTACCAGTTTTTCTTTAATCCCTTTCCTTGTTTAGTTTGAAGGGTATTGCAAAAAGGACTTCTAATATGCACGCGTGTGAGAAATACTGAAATAATTTTTAACAGCTTGTTGATTGATTGCGTGCATGTGTGTGTGTGTGTTTTCTCCNCATCAGGATACTAAACAGGTCAACATTGGAGCAAACATCTTTTCCGAGTTAGGAAAGCTCGCAAAAAACACCTTCGTTCGCAAGGTTAGACCTATTTCAGTATTTCCCATCCTTAATTCAAAGTAATTATAAGATTGAAAATTACTCTGAGGAGAAAAAAAAAAAAATCGTTTTTCCAGCTTCTTGTCAAAATGCCAGCTGCTATGCCCCTGAGCCTTCAATACGATATTTCCGAACCAAATTCAGCCTTGAGCTGGCTCGAGCGCTGGTCGATGACCCGCTTCTGGGACCCACCAACTCGGACTAAAAAGATCGCCAAACCAAAGGCCCATAAAAAACAGCCCAGCCTGCAAAATTCCGAGCCTGAAGCTGGAAAATCAAAACGGACCTTCCGGAAGGTTCCAACTGCTGCAACTGTGGTGGAAAACGGCACTTTAGCTTCCGACACAGATAACAAACCCAGGCGCCACCCGAGCAAACTCAATATTACCCAAACTGAGTCGGCCCAAGAGCAGCAAGCCCAAAGCGAACTCGAGAGAGTCAAACGTAACTTGAGAAAGGTGACCTCATCATCATTACCGGAGACCGAAAAGCCACAGGGTGGTGTGGAAATAGCAAAACCTCCCGATGTTCCTGATCTGGAAATAGCAATTCCGACCGAATCTGATGCTGGTGTCGAAACAGTAGGTTTTTCTGAAACCCCTGTGAAAAACGAACCAGTCGATGACGTGGAAATCGAGACTAATGGAAATGATGTGAAAATCGAGACTGCTGTTGTAAGTTTGGATGATGATGATGAGTCGAGCGTTAAGGAAGGAAAAAAAAGTAACAAGGACAATCAGAAGATGAAGAAAAGAAGATCATCACTGCCAGCTAAGCAGGAGTTTGCTGAAAACATCTCGCAGAATAACTCACCGAGTTTGCCGAGTTACATGGCGGTAACTCAATCGGCTAAGGCCAAGCTTCGAGCCCACGGATCGTCTAAATTCGGGGAAGATGGAGCTGAATTTAGTAACAATAATGCTCGTCGGCATTCTCTCCCGGCATCCACCAATGGGAAACCGAGCTCATTTTCGAAGCCCGTGCAAGCTAATGGTAAAGGAGGCAACAAAACTAATGCAGCATTTACTTCCTCTAGAGATGGTAAGTCAAAGTAAATTTGTAATTATATCTGTTAAATTTGTTTATTTTCCTATAGGAATGTTCC